TGTGTGTGTGTGTGTGTGTGTGTGTGTGTGTGTGTGTGTGTGTGTGTGTGTGTGTGTGTGTGTGTGTGTGTGTGTGTGTGTGTGTGTGTGTGTGTGTGTGTGAGATCGAGAGAAACAGATCAGTATTGGATTTTAAGTTGTTTATATTCAGCAGGGGTTTGCAGACACTGCTCACTGCTACAATACAGACACACACACACACACACACACACACACACACACACACACACACACACACACACACACACACGCACACTGCCCGCTGTGGTGAAATGTGCTTAGTTTCATAATGAGCTCATCACCGGTTTGTATGAGCGAGCAGCTATAAAGGGTTAAGCATCTGTAATTCCAATTCCCTAAAATCAATTTCTCTTCCTCTTTATCTTCAAATGCACGTTTTGGAGAAGAAACTACATTATAAATAATATATTCGCTATGGAAATAAATAAAAGCAAACTCTACAAAATCGCATTGTGGCAGGAACAGATCATCTGCTGTAAGAAGTTGGCTGAACACCAGAATGTCTCCATGTCTCACCTTTCTCTCATAGGTAGATGACAGGGTTAGGGTTAGGTTATGACACTTTCTTATTAATCATGCTTGGTTTTTATTCTTGTGAAAGAGTCAAAGTTGTATGATAACTCGAAAAGCATATCGGACAACCGCGACCTGTCAATCACAAGTTAGCCCCGCCCCAAAAGCATACCCTGCTTTATCGTCTATTTTATTTAAAAGGAACCGTAATTTACAAATTGAACATCATGCTGTGTTGAAGAACATTTGAGATGAACTCATCAGGAACATGTTTATTAAGGTACTAAACATAAGTAAACTAATTTCATCATAGACTTCTATCCAATCAAACTCTTTTTTGCAATTGATGGAGTCGATATCCGATATTAGAGAGAGTGCAGGTTTAAGGTATTCCGCATTTTCCTTCATTTTTCACGGGTAAGAAAGGGTGTGTTTCCCCAACATTCATGCTATACTCAATAGAACATAACAGGGTCGACACATTGCATTAACTGTGTATTTGTTGATGCAAACAAAACAGCAACAAGCTTGACGTGCCACTAAAACCACAGAAACTCTGCTTCAGCGTCAGTCCGTCTTACAGCATCTCGGCTGTGGTTAACTGAGCGGAAGTCCACGAAGCAACGAGCAGTTTACTGGAGGTGTTTAGATGACATGGCTCACACACACACACACACACACACACACACACACACACACACACACACACACACACACACACACACACACACACACACACACACACACACACACACACACACACCGTGACCTTTTTAAAGATAAGCGAGAAGTCATTTCTAACCAGGCCGTACTAATCAAGATATTTTAGCTTTAACAGACCCATGCAAACTCTTCTCAATTCACCTTTTTGGGGTCCATGTTGAATTTTTTCTTTCCGTTTGAGAACTGTTTGCCCTTCTCCATGGTCTTGCTGCACGGAAAAAAAACAAAAATTGATAGAGTTAACATATAATTGTAGTTAAATTAATGTTAAACTTTTTGACTTAGATGCTATCAGACACTTCAGCAACATATTTGTCCTTAAAACGGTCCTTTTAAAAAGGAGAAAAACCCTAAACTTTGAATTTAACCTCTATTCGGTTTTATTTTGCACGATATTTAAAAGCCATGCTAATTATTTAGGCCTTTTTGGTTTAAACTTGTTTTTTCCCAAACTCTGAACCACTATGGTGTGTCATTGAGGGTTTATATAGAGATTTATTTTCCCCATACTCAAACGCTAGGACTCATGGGAGATGTGGTTTTTGGATCCCAACCAAATTAAAACTGTTCGATATTTTCCCAAAATGAAGTTGAGGTGCTCAAATGTAAAAAGTCAAAGAAGTAATTTAGCTCCAAGAATAAATATATGAGCTCATTCTCTTATTTCTTTAGTTAGTATACTGATACCTCTTGTATATCTGTCCAGCAAATATGAAGCTACTGCTAATAGCCATTTAGCTTAGCTTAGCTTAGCATTTATAGACTGTAAACAAAGGCAAACAGCTAGCCTGGCTCAAAACAAAAAATCCAACAATTGAACATGCTATATCTTGTTTGTTTTACCTGCAGTTAAATAAATAAAGTAAATGTTACCGGGTTATTTGTTGGACTTTATTTAGTTTTGCAACAGGATGTTCAGTCACAACATTAGACTTTAGACAACAAGGAAAAATACTGAAAGATTTAATTTAATAAAATTTCATCTTAATCTTATAATCTTAAATCAACTGAAGACCTGTCGCTGGCTCATTTCCACGATATGTCAAGGGTTAAAAATATAACTTTTTGCTGAATATGTGGAAATCAGCAATGAAAAAGACTTCTTCTCATGAAAGCCTGGCACTGACTGCGCAAAAAGTGCTCGAAAGAGACTTCAACTGGATCTGTTATTTATGAACGGGGATCCCAGCTTCAACTGAAGTCAGAGAGGTGGGCAGAAACAACCAAACAGAGGTGTGTACAATTGTTAAAAAGAAACGGAAACATGAGTGATATTGGAAAGCTAAGTAGGAGTGTTAAGTGGATGTTCTATAAAAAGACAGACGGGTTAGCGAGGGAGGTGTGGAGGGGGTTTCCCAAAGTTAAACTCACTTTTCATCTCCAGACTCGAAGCTGAGTATACCTGCCATGATCTTGTCTATCTCCATCTTTAACTTCTGGAAATATAAAAGAAAAGCCTTTTGAATTTCATCAAATGTAAACTCACAATCAAAGATAATTATCAAAGAAAACAGCAATTTATTTTAATGGCAAATACATTTCCTGATATCTGATAAAGTGTTTGTACCTGAATATCATCCAGAAGGTCTTCCTTATACGTCTTAATGCTCTCGATCTCCATCTTCTCTTCTGCTGTAAAATCGGAGGAAACTACCAAGACAGGAAGAAATACGTCAAATACATTCTCAGGAACTCAGATTATGAATCAGCACAATTTCATCACATTGAAATACTTAGTAAAATAATGACAACATCTATTTGAATCGAACATTAGACTAGTGTAGGGTACAACAGATACTTTGAGCAGATAACAGAGCCTTTTCTTATCAAGCTCCACTTTGTGGAATCAGCTTCCAGTTTGTGTTCGGGCGGCAGACACCCTATCCGTT